TATGTGGGATCCGAACCCTCGGGCGGGAGCGCCGCCGCGCTTCCCAAGCGGCACACTATCCAGTGCGCCACCAGGCCGGCCCCGCAGCTCAGGTTTTAATTGTTGACTTTGTAACCACTTCTAAGTCTTGTGAGGTCTGGTACACCTGGATTGTGTAGAAACTCTGATCTGAGCCTGAGACTATTCAGCAAACTGAACTCCCTGCAATCCTATATCCCTGACCTGTCTCCATTAAGTGGTCCTGTGCTGATTGGCGTGCAGATCACTTGGCCATGCTGTGCCCCAATATTCCCCCAGTGGGCCCATCTCCCCCACCACCTGCACTCCAAACACTTCTCATGGGACGGGCCATGCACCAGTCCCTTGCAGTTACTTACTGGCCTCTTCATGGCTCCTGTTTTCAGTTGTTTGTGGCCCCTTGCTCTTATATGGATGGGTCCACGGTAATCCTGTTAGTGGTCTTGCTGGCTTGGGGGCCCCCAAGTCCCTCTTCTCCCCTGCTGCCTCCAAGCAACTTCATACAAAGAGCACAGCTGTGGCTTTTGCCAGCTCTTGCTCTGTGTGCTTATCAGTGTGAGCCTTGAAGTGGCTAGGACTTGAAACGGTCAGAATGATCCTTTTTTTAATCTCATTGTGGCTTCTTCTGCCTTCATGAACTCCATAGGTCTCTCCTCCTCTTCCCTTGAGCGCTAGTGTCCCCAGCTTGGCAGTCGTTGCTTTTTAATAGCTATAAATTGGTTGATTGTGGGAGAGGGTACAATGGGTACCATCTATTCCACCATCTTGATCAGAAGTCCAAAAAACTTATTAAGATGGAAATATTCCCCAAATTGATTTACAGATTCAATACAAAACCTACCAAAGTTCCAACTGCTTTTTTGCAGAAATCAAAAGCTGATTCTAAAATTCATATAGAAATGCAGGAGACCCAAAGGAGCCAAGAATTTTGAAAAAGAACAACAAAGTTGGAAAACTTAAACTTTTCTTTTTTTTTTTTTTCTGATCGGTAAGGGGATCACAACCCTCGGCACGGTGTTGCCCACACCACACTCAGCCAGTGAGCACACCAGCCATCCCTATATAGGATCCGAATCAGCGGCCTTGGCGCTACCAGTGCCGCACTCTCCCAAGTGAACCACGGGGCCGGCCCAAAACTTTTCAATTTCAAAATTTACTACAAAGCTGCAGTGGTCAAGACAGTGTGGTACTGGTATAAGGATAGACATATAGATTAATAAAGTGGAATAGAGAGTCTAGCAATAAACTCAATTGATTTTCAACAAGGTTACCAAGATAATTGATCAGGAAATATATCATGTTCAACTGATAGTGTTGGGCACGATTGGATATGCAAATGAATTAATCTGGATTCCCACCCACCTCACACTGTAAATAAAAAGGAACTCAAATGGATCAAAGACCTAAATGTAAGAAATAAAACTATAAAATTTTTAGGAGAAAACATAGTTGTATATTTTTTTGGATATAGGCATCGGTTTCTTGGATATGACACCAAAAGTATAAGCAACCAAAGAAAAAGTACATAAATTGGACCTCATCAAACTTAAAGACTTTTGTACAATTAGTTCTGTCCATGTTCTGTTGCTATAAAAGAATACCATAGACTGGGTAATTTACAAAGAAAAGTTTATTTGGCTCAAGGTTCTGGAGTCTGGGAAGTCTAAGAGCATAGTGCTGGCATCTGGTGAGGGTCATCCTATGGACGAAGGGCAGAAGGCAAAAGCAAGACTCGAGACAGGGAAGTGAGCTGAACTCATCCTTTCTGTCAGGAATCCACTCCCATGATAACTAATCCAGTCCCACAAAAATGGCATTAATCCATTCATGCAGGGCCGGCCCGGTGGCGCACTGGAGAGTGTGCCGCTTGGGAGCAAGGCGGTGCTCTCGCCGAGGGTTCGGATCCCATGTGGAGACCAGTTTCCGCTCACTGGCTGAGAGCGGTGCGGGCGCAACACCGAGGGTTGCGATCCCGTTGCCGGTCCCCGGTACGGGCGCGACACCGAGGGTTGCGATCCCGTTGCCGGTCCCTGGTACGGGCGCGACACCAAGGGTTGCGATCCCATTACCGGTCAGTAAAAAAGACAAAAATCCATTCATGCTGGCTTTGCCCTTGAGTCCTAATCACTTCTTAAAGGCTGCACCTTCCAATACCGTCACGATGGCAATTAAATTTTAGTATGAGTTTTGGTGTGGACATTCATATTATATATATACTATCAAGAAAGTGAAAAGAAAATTCACATAATGGAAGAAAAGATTTGCAAATCCTATATCCGAGAAGTGCCTAATATCCAAAATATATAAAGAACTCTTGTGATTCAACAATAAAAAGACAACCCAGTTTAAAAATGGGCAAAGGATTTGAATAAGCAGTTTTCCAAAGAAAATATACAAATGGCCAATAAGCACATGGAAAGATACTCAACAACATCATTAGTCATTAGAGAAATGCAAGTCAAAACCACAGTGATAAACACTTCACATCCATTAGGATGGCTATAATTTAAAAAATAGAAAACAACATTTGTTTGCCAGGATGTGGAGAAATTAGAACTCTTAGATGACTGGTGCATCCACTTTGGAAAACAATTTATTTGTTCCCCAAAATGTTATACTTAAGAGTTATCATCTGAGCCAGCAGTTTCACTCCTAGATATGTACCTAAGAGAAGTGAAAACATGTTCACACAAAAATTATTAAATTATTTGTGTTAGTGGAAACAACACAAAATGTCCATCAATTGGTGAATTGATAAGCAAACTGTGGCATATAATTTAGCACAAAAAAAGAATGAGGTATTGATACATGCTGCAATATGGATGAACCTGGAAAACGTGCTAAGTGGAAGAAGCCAGACAAAAAAGACCACATATTGTATGCTTCATTCATATGAAATGTTCACAAAACAGAAATTCATAGAGACAGGACATATACTAGTGGTTGCCAGGGGCTGGAGGGAGAGGGAATACAGAGTGACTGCTAATAGTTACAAGGTTTCCTTTTGGGTAATGAAAATGTTCTGGAATTAGGTAATGGTGATGGTCGTATAATCTTGTGAATATATTTTTAAAAACCACTGAATTACATACTTTAATATGGTGAATTCTGTGGTATGTAAATGAACTTCCAATTTTAAAAAATGTCATCATTGTAAGTAATATTTATGCTCAGGTGATCATGGCATTATTATGTGTTGTATAGATTAATTTGAAAAACATACATACAGATACAGTTACTACCAAGATGTGTATTTAAATATAAGGTGAAAGTAAATATTCCCTCCTACAGGTCTACTTTCTTTTCTTTTTTTTTTTTTTTAAAGATGACTGGTAAGGGGATCTTAACCCTTGACTTGGGCTACTTTCTTTTCTTTTCTTTTTTTTTTTTTTTTTTAAGATGACTGGTAAGGGGATCTTAACCCTTGACTTGGTGTTGTCAGCACCACGCTCACCCAGTGAGCCAACCGGCCATCCCTACACAGGATCTGAACCCGTGGCCTTGGTGTTATCAGCCCCACACTCTCCCGAGTGAGCCCCGGGCCAGCCCCCCAGGGCTACTTTCTTACCACTAAAATTTTTTAAAATCAGATTTATTGTGGCCCAATAATGTACATACAGAAAACTTCTTATCATTAAATTTAAATTATTTTGTCATATTTTGGTTTGGTTTGAGAAACACATCTCATTTAAACTTATATGTTGTCTTTAAAGGAGCAAGTACAATGATGGATTTTAGGAAAGGGAAATTGTTCTTATCGACTTTCTGTTCATGACTAATGTAACTGCAGTTATCTAAAATTTTCTTGGTAATTTGAGCATATTTGTAAGATCCAATGTTATACACTATTTGAGCTTTTTTTAATAGCCCTTTTATATATATATTTTATAAAATTTTTGCTCATATGAAAACGTAGAAATCTATTGATAGCTAAAGATAATTTTGTATATGCAAATATATGTATGTTTTATATACGTAAATATATATATATATATATATATATATACTTTTTTTCAGGTCAAGAAAGTAAAATAGCCAAAGACGCTGCTAACAGATGGACTGGTATGTATTATAAGACTATGGTAAACTATAGCTAAACTTTTCTTCACTTACTGTGATGTGAAATTCAGATGCCTTTGTGCTAGCTTTGTTCAAGAAAGGGCATTTCTGAAAATGCATGCATGACTCAAGTTTTTATATATTAAATCATTTCAGTTATGTAAGGTTATTTTTAAAAATCTTATCGAGTTGTTTTGTAAAGTATAAGATATTTTTGTAAAACCAAAGATTGCTTTCAGTTTAACTTTCGTGTAATTTTTCCCAAGAGAAGTCCCTTGGGCTAATCAATTAACTTTTGTATATACTAATGTAAGATATACCTTTACAAGTTTCATGGGATCCTAATGATTTGTCTCCTTGCTGATAACAATAATAATAATAATAGCTAAAGTTTTTAATGGCTGGCTATGTGCCAGTTATTGTAATGAGTGTCTATGGTGCATTTTCATTTTATCTTCACAATAATCTCGTAAGGTACATATGATTATTATCACTAATTTTGAAGATGAAACTAAGGCCCTCAGGAGCCTGAGGCCATACATGTGCTAGGCAGTGGGACAGGAATTAGAATCCAGCTTCTCTGATTCCAGAGTCCAGGCTCTTACTCACTACATTATACCTACTGTCTTCTCTCTAAGACTGCTTTCATCTAAATGCCTTGTTAATCTTTTTGCCAGTGGATACACCCTCTGGTCTGCACTGGAGATATTCTAAGAAATGGTAATAAATAAGGCATTATCAATGTGTCTTAAGGTTCAGGAGAAAGTTAATAAATAGTGATTGCTGTGAATTATATACAAGTATGATTAATATTGTTATAACCTGTCAGAAAATTACACCGATGTTTTTCCAATATTTAATTATAAATAATGGTTATTGAATTTTTCCATCCTGGTGAGCATCTGTAATGCCTTCACATGTATTACTCATCCTTATTATGTTTATGTAGGAGAATATGGATAAGATTAAATTGATGCAGAGATGTAAAAGCTTAAAGGGCATTTAGTCAAAGACGATTTGTCACTGGAAGAACAGATTTGAGCCAGGTTTCCTTGACTCCCTGTCCAGGTCTCTGTTTCACAAAACATTTAAGAATCATTTTTTCCGAGTCCATTTTAGAATTAAGTAGATTGGTAAAAATATAATTGTCGTTTGGGTCCTATAAAATTGCAATCTTATTTATTACAAAGTTATTTCCTAAATAATATATTGCTTTAGTCATAAGAACAGAGGAGGGTAAAAACAGCAAGCTAACATTAAAAAAAAAGAAGAATGAAATGTGGGTCCCATAAAGTATAAATAAATAATAAATACAGTGATATTGTATGCGCTTTGGAAATATAAAATTTTGAGTGTGACAAAAGAAGTGCATTCTCAGGTTAAAAATAAGGTGAGTCACAAGGTGGTTTCCCTCAATAGTTCTCAACAAAGCAGCTCAGCACACGGTAGAACAGGCAGCTTGTGTGTGTGGTGGAAGGAACTTGACTTTGAAAGGAATCCAAGCCATGCTCCTTATTTGCTGTATGACCTCTTAAAATTTTCTGAACCTGCTTTCTCATCTGTTCAATTTGGATAACAGATAACCTACATTTCAGGAGAATTAAATAAGGAAGCTTGCAAGCCCGTCAGCACAATGTTAGACACATAGATAAATACTCCCCTTTTCCGTTTCTCCTTTTAAAAAACCGTTTCATGTTTTCCAATTGATTATTAACTTCCAAGATTATAAGTAGGAATCAACAATTGGAACAGCTCCTCCCCCTTCTCCCCCTATGTTATTAGCCATGAAAGAACCTGGAACCTTTAAAATCATGTGGAAGGAAGTTTTTTTTAGAACAGCTGTTAAGAACCACATTTTCATTTGAGGTTACAACTTTCTCCTTCCAACTCCTTTCAACGTTATGAAGAGATAAAGCAAATTACACCTCAGAAAACCTCCATCTCCAAACAGGCAGAAAGAAAACATCAGTAATATTTATAACTAAAAATTACCATATAGCTATTAGTTAAGGTTTGGTTTCTTTTTACTTAAAAAAAAAAAAGACCTTAAAAATGTATCTAGAATTGAGAATATTTACTGTTCAATAATTTATGTTAGTTTTATAAAATGATAAATTATGTCAGGGTATAAATACAATGGGAAATTACATCAGGGTATAAATATAGAAATATCACATCTAAATGTTTTATAACATTAAGTATACTTTAAATGTGATTTAATAAATTATATCATATGAAACCTTGCTAAATAATTAAGATAGTGG